TTTTTGTAAAGTGTTAGGAGGATTAAAGTAGCTGGGGGAGGGGGAATCCTTTTGGGTTGCCAGGAAACATTTTATTTGCTGTCAAGTGAAATTGTTCTGTTGTTTTGTCAAAATAGATTCATTTGGGGCTAATTGTTCTTTTCTTATTGGCTGTATCCATGGCTCTGAGAGCCACGCTCCACACCGGTTACCCAGCGCACCTGTCACAGGGAAAATCAGGGAGATGATAAAGGCCCCAGGATGTCCTCTTTATGCAGTCACCTTTTCTTCCCTCCTCTCTGCTTTGCAGCGTGCTTTTGAACTGACACATCAACAGCTAGTAGAACCGTAAAGCCCTGTCGGGTTGGGTGCAGAGTAACCCTTCAAGCCCCGCGGGGCCAGGCGGCAGCATCCTCGGACGCACTGTGCTGCTGGGTGCCGGCTGCCTCCCGAGCCAGAAGCGTCTGTAGCCACGTTCACGCAGCACAGCAGACAAGCATGTTAGCACAGACGCGCGGCAGCACCTGCCGGACCTGGTTACGCTGGAGTTAGCCTGTGAGGGAGCAGCGCGGCGTGCTCGAGGCCAGGTAGCATAGACCTGCCTGTTGCCACCATTGGGCAACTTGGCCGGTGCCCCCGCTGCAGAGAGGACTCTTCCCCGCCCCCACCGCCAGGTTTGAGCTTGCTTTTTTCCAGGCTGATTTGAAAGGAAACTAGGAAAAGGAACCAGCGCACTCCTCCTCCCGTCAGCCCAGCACTGCAGCCGTGTTGGCCAGGAAGCCGGCAGGCGGCAGGAGGGGGTGGGGTATTGGAGCAGGACCTGCATGCAAAGCTCCTTGGGGGCACCTCGCACTCGGGCCCTAGGAGTGGGTGTCCACACCAAGCGCCATCCAGCCAGCCGCCGTCTCGTTCATAGAGCTGCTGGGATCTGCTGTATAGCCTGTGCACTTACCCTCCCGTGAACAGGCAGTGGCACCTTTGCCCCATGGCTCGTGTGAAGCGCCTTGCATAGAAAGCAGCACAAAGAGCAGGAGGTGAATTGAATGAGGCAGCTCTACCCCCTGCATGGACAGCTTGCGTCACCAGGTACCTGGGGCAGTAATCGGGTGCTAAAGCCTATTCATTCCCCCTGGGGGTGCATTTAGGCTAACTGCCGTGGAGTACCCATCCCTCGGACACCGTGTCTCTGGGAAGCATCACGCAGGGTGTGTTTCCCAGACAGCCTGGTCCTGGCTCCTCCTGGAGTAGGGGGAGCTCCATGTTTCGGGAGCAACGCTGGCTTGTTTGTGGTGCTGCAGACGGCGCGTGCTGCTGTGGGCAGATTCATCAGCCGGAGGACTGGGAGCTTGCTAGCCTGCCCCATTCACCCGAGGACCCTTCAGAAACTGCCT